TATTTGCGGATGAGCCAGAGCAGACACTCCACCATAGGAATTGTAGATTGAAAGTGCCTGTTCGGCACATTTGGACAAATACTGAAACAGACACCGATGTCTGCGCTGGCCCAGTGATTAAAATAACGAACAGACACCGGTGTCTGCCATGACGCTTAATATGTTAAAAGTGTTGATAATATGGAAATTTGCAAGGACATTTTTAAATGTCCTTGGAAATTTGTATCACAAATCAACAATTCGGCACAAAACTGGGGATTTTTATAAAAAGCGCCATCTACGAATTTTTTCCGGTAGCTCCGGAGTCTCAATATCTCCAATGCCTTGTTCTTGAATAATTTTTAGCTCTCTTAGCTACGATTTTCTGATTATGACTTAAAACTAGAGAGCTACCAGACAATATTGTTAATTTTAAAAGTTCAACAATACGTGATATCCTCCTGACAATCTTTCCTGTCGAAGTTTAGCGGCTGTAACGCTGCCGTTATTTTTCCTTAAAACGTGTACAACAAAGATGGATAGTTTCAACTAACCTTCAATGGGCACTATAGGAACATTAACTCTCTGAAGAGTGTTGGGCATCTGCGGTAGGATGATTCCTCCATAAGAACCCCAGCCTGCTGTAAACGCCCTGCCTGCTGGTTCGGAATCCTGTCGGGGAAGCCTCGAAGGTTGTACAACGGAGCTTAGGATCAGAGCAGACGACAGCCTTATGAGTGCGATGTCATGGGGATTGACGCCACTTAAAAACAAGAAGAAAGAAATATTATTTTCACAATAGGTCCGGTTTCAAATGATGTTTGACACATCATCGTCACCATCAGCATCATACATGTTATATGTAGTACAGTCATTGAAGCCGAAACTCAGCTGTAACCTTCGAATTCTTTGAAACTGCATGGATTTCCATGAAAATTTAGAATTAGGCTCATCTTAGGCTCAAGTTCAAAAGTGACATAAGCCCGATTGATGCTTTTTGTTTTTTTAGGGGTAAATACTACCCCTAAGTGAAAAAAATTTTAAAAATTTAGTTTTAAGTATTTTATTGATAAAAATCTTGTCCAAGCACAAAGATTAAATAATGTTCCATGTTCTCGAACATGTTTTATGATATATTTGATCTTTTCTACTACCCCTACGCAAAAAATAATGATAAAAAGTTACTTTTTAAAGATTTGGAATGATTAAATCGTGCAATTAATTAAAATAAAAGTTACCTTATGGCTAATAAAATAATTTTTCCCTTTCCACCCCTAAAAACCACCGCTGTATTGACAAAAATGATAAAAAAATTACTTTTCAAAAGCTTGGAATGCTTTAACGCTGCAATTATTTAAAATAAAAATTCCCTCATTGCTTATGAAAGAATTTGTATCTCATAACACTTCAACCCTTATAAATCACCCTGTGCTAAAAAAAATTATAAAAAATTACGTTTTAAATCTTGGAATGCTATAATTGTGCAATAATTTAAAATAAAAATTCCCTTATATTGTTTATGAAAGAATATTTTACTTTTGCCATTTTCAACTCTTATAAACTACCATTTTACCAATATTAATGTAAAATATTTTTATTATAATCGATTTTTAAATATAATCAATCATAAAAAAAATTGCGACGCTGCATATAAATAATCCCACTAAATTTTTTTACTTATTTT